GTCTGTTCGTGGCAACTCTGATCTTTTCTACGCCCCCTCTATTCTTGTATATAAGTGCGCCAGATAAAGCGAAATTAATTATCGGAATAGAATTGCAGACAGACAGAGACGGACAAGTGAGTCAAGCGCGGCAGTGGCCGTAAGTAAAGTGCGTGAATCGTTGTGAATTCTAGCGTATGTTTAAGTTAAAGTGACTGTGGAAATTAAGTGTATTGCAAAGTTGAATTGAGAAAGAATAAACTAGTTTTATTTAAGAAAGGACATGTATCGCTGAAGTTTCTCGGAAATAATTTCTACGGAAAATTAACAAACGAACACAGAGACGTAACAATATCCTATTGGTCATCTAACTCCAAGAGAACAATGTACAAAAACATTTTGGTAGCTTCGTTAAGCTTACATACTTTCAAGAAATCATTAGATCAAAATATAAATATGTTTTATGTTAGAATTCATCTAAAAAAAATCTGTTCATTTATTTACAAATTACTTACCAACGAAATTAGTTTCATGAACATATTCTATTCTTTTGTCAAATTCCTTGTGTTGGTGGGCTGCTTCTTCACTCACATTTATTGATAATTGTGCTTGTCTTTCGACGAGAATCGTGGTTTGCTGAATTAAAACAAAGACGATGGTTGAAGTGGTGAAATAGAAACTAGTTCATACTACAAAAAGTTTAGTAACTATACGATAAATTTTAATTATTAATATCAGAACATTGCGTTTGTTTGTAAACAAAGTAAAGCCGTGTAACTAAAAATAAAAATAATTTTATAAAAACTTACTAAAAACACAGATAAATTTCCTAGAAGAATGAACATAAAAAATTAATTTAGATGAATTAGTCTATATAAATATAATAGTACTGTCTGTTGTCTGTCCATGTAACTATTTTGCAGGGTGTGGATGGATGATCTCGAAAAATTGGTATGGAGGCTCACTAGGTCCATCAGGGGTACATACAAATTTTCAGTTTTACTTTTTTTACCACTACTTCACCCCCTGTAGATGGATCTTCACCAATTTAGCTTGAAGGTTTGTTGGGTCTGTGCGAAGATACATGCAAATTTGTGGTTTCCCATTTTGTGTTTTGTAGTTTTTATGGGTTTTTTTTTACAATTACATATAAGATAACCTTTCAGTAAGCATGAATTTGCACAACGTCCGTCCAGGGGACTGGTACTCTAGTTACTATAAATAAATTTATAAAGAAGAAAAAAAAATATATCTGCAAAAATTCCTTCAATTTGTGAGAAATGTTTATATCTATATATACATAACGCACAAAAAATCTGGATGTTTGTCTGTTTGTTCATTACTTAACTACTCTTAGGTCACTGGACCAATCTCAACCAAACTCTGTGGGATAATAGTTTGGAACAAGGGGCATGTTAATGAGTGGCTCTCAACCCCTTCTACCTATATACTTGCTGTTATTGAGCATTTATTATCTTTGAGGTAAGTTAACTACATTCATAGATGGCGCCATGTTCTTATACCAAAATTTATTACATTTTCTATAACACATATACACACAGTGTGGTGTAAGCCACACAAACGTCTTATATATTTCAGATATTCAGAGCTGGGTGTTGAAAGCGGGTAATAGAAAGCACGCCTACCTACAAAGTCATCCTGACTACCGCACAGTATATAACATCTTTAAAGTATATACATATTGAGTTCTTATAGCTCATAATAAAAACTATTGATGAGGTACTTGTTGTTGTTTATCATTAAGCACAATGCTACATAAAGGGTTATCTGTTTCTAGCAGTGTAAGTCCACATTGCGCCACTGGGGGGAATTGACAAGATAATAATAATATGTTACGTTATAAGTAAATTGTTTGAAAGTTAGGATTTCCGTGTTATTTATCATTTTTTTTAGTTCATAACCCGGACAAAGGACGGATACCTCAGCTTGTATTTTATAATTGAAGGGTTTTCTACTTTATTTAAAAGTATTGTTAGACAGTGGTGTGAAGGGTTATAAGAATAATCCCCCATGTCCCCTAGGACTGTTGGGGTACTATTTCCCGACTCTCTAATTTCCCCTATAACAAACTTCTATGATGGATAGACAGCGAGGTTAACCTTTGACCAGAAATCTTAACGAATTTCCACTGTACGTGAAGGTCAGCTTCCT